TGAAAAAAGTTTAAATATTTTTTTTTTTCATTCTTGAAATATCCACCGCCGATAACAATGACTAATCTGTAATAATATATATAATATTTTATTAAACCTTATTTAAAATTAATATTAAAATTATATATAAATTATATATTAAATAAATTTATATTTATATATATTATATTTATAATGACAATTATTTTTATATATGACCTTATGATAATACTTCTTATCGAGATGAGTACGTGCATGTAATATTTAGCAAAAAAATAAATTATAGATTAAGCATGTCAATTAACTTTGACTCGGGATGCAAACAATATTTAGGATTTAAAAAATGTGCAAATAATTTTAGAACTTTGCGATAAATGCATGCAATAAAAAACTATGCATATCTTGTAAAAAAATAATTATGCATATTATATTTGATGTGTATATATTTTTTATTCATAATCATATATATATATATATATATATATTATATTTTATTCATAAGAATTATGTAACGGTAAAATGTTTGAATTTAATATTTTATAAATATTATTTAATCTCACACTTGACTTTATATATCCAAGTTATTCGCTTAACACCAAAGTTATTATTTTTTTTAAAGTTTAATGTATCCTAATTAGATTAAGTTAAATAAAATTATTAAAAATTAAATGTCAAAATTATTTCCACTAAATTTTAACATTCAAACTAAATTTCAATAATTAACTTAAATTAGTCTTTATCAATTAATTTATATGTTCAGTGATATTATTTAAATTTTAAAGTTAAAATGTATCATATGTGAAGTTGGTCCGAGATTTTTTTAAAGCTACGATCCAATAAAAAAATATGATATTTTAAATTATTTAAATATTATTCTTTTATTTTTATTATAAAATTATTAAAATATTTAAATTATTTTTAGAATCATTCACAATAGACATATCTTATTTAGTATCATTTTCTTTAGTAATTCATCTTGTAAATCACTTTTAAATTATTTCATGTTATTAAAATGTAAATGTCTAATGAATTATACTCACTAGATTGTCCAGCGTGAATATATTAGTTTTTATCGTTAAAATACTCAATTTCATCATGATAATCATATTTATTATCAATTTTTTTAGATTTGGGGTCTATTTGTCTAGATTACCTAGATTTGCATCATTTTGAAGAAAAATTATAGAATGTTTATCAAAAAAATTTATCAAGAGCTCTCTTTTGAGAATCAATAATAATTCCATTTTTTTATATTTCTTTTCTATTTTAGATGACCAGAAGATTGTTTTTTTTTACATAATATGTTCAAACCCAAACAATTAGACAAAAACTAAATTATAATCTATGTTTCAAATTATGAGTTTTTAATGAGTAAAAGTCAATGAGATAAAATAATAGTACTCAATTATGTATTTTTTAAACCTTCAGAACTCTCAATTTATTATAATGGAAGAAAAATAATAATAATGTGGCATGTCACCAAAAATTTGCAATAACTAACAAATAAATGTTTTTAATTTGATTTTAAAATTCTAACATACCATAAGATATCACAATTAAGATAATAAAAAGAGAATAAGGGATTAAGATATCACAATTCTTATTTATTAACAATAACAGAAATAATGATAAAAAAATTAAATAAATCAAGTCAATAATAAATTATATTATATATCATAGTTTTCTCTTAATATTTAACATTATCAATATATTTTTCTAAAATTCTAAGTAAATTTTTATTGAAAAAAGTTACATATCAATTGATTAATTATTGTAGATTAATTTATTTTTTATATATAATTTAATCATGTATTTTTTTTATTTGTATAAATTTATAAAATAAAAAAAAATAGTGCTCTTCTGAAAATCTAACCCTAGAGAGCCTGTCGTCTTCAGAGCTGCCATTGATCACATATGAACTTGGTAGGACATTAATGATCACATATGAACTATTTGTTTGTTTTTTCAAACTATAAAGTTAACCATGTCACAATAATTGGATTATTAAGGAGGAAATGAATTTACATGGTTTGTAGAAGATCATGTGTCCAACCATTCATAAAATTTAGAAAAATGATCTTTTATAATAATATATGTATGATAAAAAATACAAAAGTTATATATAGTGTAAAATGTAATATCAACTTATTTTAAAAAATATTATTTATATTTTTCTATTTTGGTTACATATAATATATTTATGTAATTTATAAAACATTTACTAATTCATTTAATCAGTAAGTGCCTCCATAAAATTATTATGGAAATAACGTACTTTTGAATTTTGATTGACTCGAAAACTGACTTACCATACAAAATTTGCTTCTCACATGAAAATCAAATATTATTGTATTATATTATTAAATGAAACAGTATGAGGTATGATATATATTTTTTTGACCAGACGGTATTATATTAAAAAAATTATGAGTTGAAATAGTGTGAAGCTGTTACAGAATTAAATTAACCTGATTAAAATTTGAATTTTGGTCACGGTGAAATAAAAGGAAAGAAGCTTCACGGAAAAAGTAAAGAAAGACATCACACAGAACACGCTGACAAAAAAAATTTGCAACCAGGTAGAGAGAGAAATTGGCCACACACACGCAAATGAAAAGAAAACTCCAATTTCCTGTCTTTTAAAATTGTTTTCTGCTTTGCATTTCACATTACATTTTCATTCATTCATTTTATTATTTTTTTTATTTTATTTTTTGTGTGGATGCAGTGGCTTTCTTCTCTTCTCTGCTTCCTTCCCTGACAATCTCATTTTCACTTCCTTTTCATCTCTGAAATCCAAAAAGCTGCTTCTTCTGCTTCTCCATTCCCCAAAACCATTCACTCTCTTGATTCCTAAAAAAGCTATTTTTTCCCTTTCCTCCTATTTAGATTCAAAACTTTTTTTTGTTTTTCATTTTTTTTGACCCTTTTGAATTCTGGGTGTCATTGTGCTTGTAAGGAGAGTTTCATGTGTACCATTGATGTAAAATTTTGAGCTTTGTATTATACTTCTTGTGGGGTGTGTGAATTGCGGAGCTTGTGTTTGATGTAAAGTTTTGGGGTTTTCTTTGTTGTACTTATTTTTGTGTGTGTGTGTGTTGAGGAGCTTCTGTTTGATCAAACAGAAGCTCTTTGTTGGTGTTCTTTTTTGGAATTTTCTGCTGGTGATCTCGTTGGAAAACCCGAGCTTTTGGAGGCTCGGGATCTGAATTGTGTGATGGATTCAACAAAGGAGAAGAAGCTGCAGAGCAGTGTTGCTGTTGCAGATGGAGCTGACACCAAACCTTGCTATATGCAGAAGTTCAGGCTCTATGAGACTCGCTCGGTAAATATAAATAATGTTTGCATTACAAATATACAAATACGGTACTTTCTGACCATGATCCGGATTGATTTGAATTTTTGTGTAACTAACATGTTTCTCTTTGTTTGTTGCTTTAAGACGTTGTTTTGTTTGAGCTGATTTGATTTTCTTTATGTCTTTCAATTTATCCTTGTCAAATTTATGTTCATGTGCATATATTAATCGTGAATCATGATGTTTTTCATTGGGCAGATGAATCGAGTCATATGGAAAGTTTGGTTTTTTTTTTCGGTGGGGAGTTTTTGCATTGGGTTTTAGACACCTCTCTTTGTGAAAATGGTTTTATGAGTTGTTGTCTTATCTGGATTCTCATGGATTTCATTTCACAAGTATACACTGATGAGTTTTTCCTGGCTTGAATAATTGTAATTCATTTATAACTGACATTTTTTTTTCCATCATGTTGCATGTGAGGGTAACTATTAAATGCCCGTGTTAAATGGTTTTGTAGACAAACCGTTTGTGGATTTCTGTACCTCACTATTTTCAGATTGTATTTATTATGTTAACGTTGGCCTTTCATTATTCCTCAAGCCTTTTAGGTTTAATTGTGTGTAATGGATGATTGAACATCTAAGCTTTGTTGTCAACTTTATTGGCACTAAATTCACTGGATCTTACTGTGAAAGTTGCTTGTGATATGTTACCGTGAAAGTTTTGTTGTCCACTTTGAGTTTATTTGCACTAAATTCATTGTTTACTTTTCTAAAAGGAAACTAGGGTTGTTGCTTTATATTTTCTTTCATCAATTTCATGCATCTGGTTTGATCTCGTATATAGTTTGGCTTCAGCTTTTTTAATTTTGGAATGCTAAATTGCTAACATTTGTCGTCAGAAGATGGCCACTGCTGATCCGTTCTTGTCTTACTCTCCTCTACCATGTGAATATATCCATAACTTTTGATGAAAATGGGGCAAAGGTCAAAAAAGGGAACTGAAACAATTGAATTAAACTGTTACATTCTTATTCAGGAAATGAGACATGGAAGGAAAAATATAGTTACCAATTAAAATTTGCTCCATGTTAACCTTCTTGCAGTTGTGTCACCTTAATTTGTCTCCCACTTTCACATGTTTGTGTTTTCTGTCTCAAGCCATTGCTTGTCCATTCTTGTCTTAGTCCCCTCTATCCAGTGAAATTGACTAATTGAGTAGCCTTGTGAATATATCCAGAAGTTTTGTTGAAAAATGGGCAAAGATCAAAAACCGAACTGAAATGACTGAATTAAAGTATTACATTCTAATTCTGAAATGGGATCTAAATGGAAAAATATGATAAAATTATTGCTTAAAAAAATTTAATTTCATGTGAATCTTCTCATGATGTATCTCCTTCGATTATCTCTCATTTTCACATGTTTGTGTTTTCTGTCTCAAGTGACACTCAAAATCTGGACTGAGCAAAACTATTTCCCATGCTTGTCATTTAAGTTTGTGTTTAGAACTTTTTATTCCACTACACAATGACAAAATTATCCCTTGATGCAAGTGTGCAATAAATGACTATTATGGGGAGACTCTTATTTCTGAAAAGTGGCTTTTGAGTTGGATCAGACTGTCAACTTGTTAGAAGTTGAAAATGCTCTCAATTGCTTTGGAAATAAGGGCAATTAAATTTAGTTCTTTTTATTGTTACCAAAAATGTGAGCTGAGATGTACTTTTTCTTTATTAATATTATCTTTTTTGTCTGTGCACATAATAGCTACAAAGCACTATTGCTGTGGTCTTACTATTTTTCTACACAGAAATTTTACATGATCGGAAGAGACAAAAACAGAACATTTTGGAGGGTCTTAAAGATTGACAGACTGGAGCCATCTGAATTGAATATTGTTGAAGATTCAACAGTATACTCGGAAATTGAGTGTTGTGACCTTCTGAGGCGGATACATGAAGGAAACAAGTCAACAGGGGGGCTTAAATTTGTAACAACTTGCTATGGAATCATCGGTATTTTTCTCTCTTTTGTACGAGATCTAAATTGTTATTGTTATCCTTAGTCTTGTTCCCCACATTTTTCATCAGAATAAATTGTTTTTTTCTTCTTCTTTCGATTCAGGATTTATCAAATTTCTGGAGCCGTATTACATGCTGCTTATAACAAAGCGAAGGAAGATTGGTACAATCTGTGGGCACACTATATATGCTATCACAAAGAGCGAAATGGTTCCAATTCCACATGCTACTGTGCGATCCAAAATGGCTTATTCTAAGGATGAGAACAGGTCTTTAGTCAATTTTGCATGTAATTGTAATGTGTCTATGGTACATTTAAAGAGACATGTAGAGAGTAGCATTGAGAGCTATACATTGTCCATTGTACTTAGATGTTATGAATCACAATTTTTTAATTTGAGTTCATTATATTGTGCAGTCAAAACATTCTGTTAGAGCATAGTTGTGTTGAAATTATACATTTTAGAGTTTTTCTTTGTACTATGTATGTTGATTATTCCTCTTCAGTGTGTATCCACAATGTGGGCTTCCTCAGATCAACCTTCTCATCTTTCTGTGGTACACTTTAATTGTCTCTTGTGAAATAGAATCAATAATGTTTCTTCCAGATTTTTGGAGTCTATAGTGGATACCTCTTTTGTTGTTGTTTTCATGTTCTACATTTATTGTCAGTTCATTTCCTGCAAATGTACAGGTGCAATCTTCATTGCTGTTATGATGTAAATTTAACTTTTTGATTGAGACAAGGTATTGGCAGGGTTTCAACTGGGAGATCACTTTCTTTTAATTTTTTTAATACGTTTGGTTAGGGTTATTGGCTTTATAAGTTGTTTTATTGTCAATTTGTTTCACTTTTATTCCTTTACATAATAAAGTATCTTATTAATGGGCTTTGCTCTTTCTTCTGTGGTGACTTAGATACAAGAGGCTTCTGTGCAGTGTGGATCTTACGAAGGACTTCTTTTTTAGCTACTCCTACAATGTCATGCTTAGTCTTCAAAGGAACTTATCTGATCATAATACTACAGGACAATCACTTTATGAAACACTTTTTGTTTGGAATGAGTTCTTAACTCGTGGAATCAGGAATAATCTCCAGAATACTTCCTGGACTGTAGCCTTAGTGTATGGCTTTTTTAAACAGGTACATTTGAAGTTTCCTTTATTGGCTAATAGATATGTTTGTGAGAGATTTGTGAAGGAAGGTAACTAATGTAGCTGCTAGTAATGCTAGTTACTTCACTTGTATGAATTTCTTTAGTTCTTTCTTATTTTTTGTTTTCTATGTCTACAATGAAGTTAACCTTTGATATATGCTTTGAATATCTGACACCTATTGAACAATTTTCTGTTGCTTATATTTATTAATTTGTACTTAATCACTAATGATTACTGTACCTTTATAGAAAGTGAAACTAATCTTGCTGGCATTTTATTTAGTAGAGTTAATGTGCAGCCATTAAACCATAAATTTATAGTTTTTCAGTTGTCGTATATTGGGAAATTCATTCAAGTCCACACAAAAGGTTTGATTAAACTTACTATAGGATAATGCCAGAAGAAATGCCAGTATATTGTGTTCTTAGAAAAGATTTGGTGTTATCTTGTTGACTAGTGTTCATTTTATGATGTCGTGTGTAGGTCAAACTTTCTATATCTGACAGTGAGTTCAACTTGACTATCATTGCTAGGCGCTCACGGCATTATGCTGGGACCAGGTTTGTACATTTTTGAGCCTTTTCTCTAGTTTGTATGAAGATTAAAATGACATTTTATTTCACATCTATGCACTTGTGTAGATATTTGAAACGAGGAGTGAATGAAAAAGGTAGAGTAGCCAATGACGTTGAGACAGAGCAGATAGTCTTTACAGATGCTCATGATGGACGCCCAATGCAAATCAGTTCAGTGGTACAGATCCGGGGTTCCATCCCTCTGTTCTGGTCTCAGGAAGCCTCTAGATTGAATATAAAACCTGACATTATATGTATGATATGGCAGCAACTTTACTTTGTTACTCACATGCTTTGTAATTAATGCTGATCACTCATTTTCTTTCCTTTTCTCTAGTATCAAGGAAGGACTCTAATTTTGAAGCCACAAGACTTCATTTTGAAAATCTTGTGAAGAGATATGGAAATCCAATTATTATACTGAACTTGATAAAGGTAGGCATTTCCATATATGTAAGGAACCATCAAGCAAGCTTGATTTGTTTGTCTTGTGTCTAAACTAAAAGATTTTCTATCTTATATATTCTTTTGTCTTTTGTGTCTAAGACACGTGAGAAGAAGCCTCGAGAAACTATTCTGCGATCTGAGTTTGCGAATGCTGTTAGGTCTATTAATAAAAATTTGAGAGGGGAAAATCGCCTGAGGTTTCTTCATTGGGATCTGCATCGGCATTCAAGATGGTAAATTTTTCTTCCCTTTTTTATTGTCCAACCACTACAAGTTTATTCTTCGAGTGTTATTTTGATATTATTAATTCAATCACCTTTAGCAGCAAAGCTACTAATGTGTTGGGACAACTGGGGAAAGTGGCTGCGTATGCGCTGAAGCTGACTGGCATCTTCTACTGTCCAGTGACACCAAATTTGAGGCTAGATGGATTATGTGAATATTCCTACTCTGAGTAAGTACCGTAACACATTTGGTCCTGTTTGCTATTGTACTAATTAGTAATTAGGCAAGTTGAAATTTCTCTTGGTTATTTTACAATTGTTGATGCAGTTGCCTATCGATTTATTTTTTAATGTTTAGATGGTTTATTACATGATATACTTATATTAAGGAGTATCTAGCCTTTTTTTCACTTCATTATAATCTTTATCAATTGTTTTTGCCTCAATGTTATTGTTAGTAATTTTATTTGTGACAGAGTAACTCCCTCAAAAGCTTAAGCTATTGGGTGAAGACTCATTTTTTTTAATTAATATCTCAAATGCAACCTTGTGTAAGTGCTTTTTTTTTTTTGGGCTTGAAGCGTGGAAATGCTCAAGTCCACCTCCACCCTACGTCATGCTGAAACTTCTTGATCATAAAAGCTACGATACCATGTTATGGACCAAGTCTTCCAAAAGCATAAGCTGTTTGGTAAAAACTCATGAATGTTTTTTATTTCTATTATTTATTGATGATCCTTTTTTTTTTTTTTTAATATAATGCAGGAATGACAATGTCATTGATCACTGCATCACAGAACAAACATGCATAAACAAGGATAATGTTGATAAAGAAACAGAAATTAGCAATTGTTACTGTAGTGGTGATGAGAACAAAGATTACAGCGTCAAACCCCAGATGCTTCAATCTGGGGTCTTGAGGACTAATTGCATAGACTGTTTAGATCGTACCAATGTTGCTCAATATGCTTATGGACTAGCTGCACTTGGATGCCAGCTACAAGTTTTAGGATTTACTGAATCCCCATATATTGATCTTGATAACCCTTTGGCCAAGGAATTAATGCAAGTCTATGAGTCCATGGGCGATACACTAGCCTTTCAATATGGGGGATCTGCAGCACACAACAAGGTAATCTTTCTACCTTCAGGGGCTATGAAATGCCATATGGGATCAGAATTTCTATGCATAATGATTTTATTTAGGATCTGCTTCTTATGCATAACACAATCCAAAATGACGCAAGTTAATCTAATGCTGAAAGCATGTTGTGTTTTTTTAGGTTGTCTGCCTGTCTCCAATAAAAGTATGCCTTTTCTAAGAGGATATGTTGTATTTGATTCACAATCTTTACAATAAGTTTTAATTTGTTGTAGGTTCAGTAACTCAGTTAGTTATATGGAAGCAGTTATAATGATTCTTGTTTATGGGGGTATAAATTCAAATTTGTCTGCAACCCCCTTCCCCCATTTCATTGCGCTGCATTGATAAATGTAAACAGATGATTATTTGGTATCAAGAAATAAAAACCATTATTCACAATGAAGCCATTCGATTCCCTCAATGTAAAAATATTTATGTTGCGGATGCATGCCTGACCTTTTTGGTTCAATAATAGTGCATGTTCTGAAAGACTTATTTTAGCAAGCAGTGGACCTATTACTTGAAAGGGATAGGTTGGAGTCTTCATTTTCAATTATATATGGCAGTTTCATAGTAGATGTTTCATTTATTGTACACTCACCAATTGACATGCCAATAAATAGAAACTGGGACACCTTTTGTGAGTTATATATTCGTTTTACCCAGCTTTTGTGAGGTGGGATGTCCAAGTGTTTCTCAATGGCTAAATTCATAATTGGTTTCCTGAGCTATTTGAGATTTTTAAAATATGTCCCTATATTTTAAAATTTTATAATTGGGTTCTTGAACTTATAAATCATGTCATTGGGTTCCTGGAGTAGGGTTCCATCATAGAACACGAAGTTAGATGGGATATTCTTGATTCCAATTATGAATTTTGAAGTATTAGGACCTACACGAGAAATCCCAAATAGTTCAAGGACAAGGTTGCTGGGTTAAATTGATTAGTGGATACGTAAACTATTTGAGAGTTTTCAAATAGGTCCCTATAATTTTTAGCTATTTAATTTAGTATAAAGAGACCATAACAATTTCCCCACGTTTTGAAGTGGAAATCTTTATTTGCCTCTTTACTATTTTCCTTGCATGGAAATTTTATCTAATTACTGCTCAGTGCTCACTCCTCTGTGTTCTTTGCAATTGGTATTGCTATTTAGATATTTTCTGAGAAAAGAGGTCAATGGAAGGCAGCAACACAATCCCAGGAGTTTATTCGAACTCTACAGCGTTATTACAACAACACGTATTTAGATGTTGATAAGCAAAAAGCAATTAACTTGTAAGTCAAACAAGCCCGGTTTTCTAATTGTATTTACATAATTGTTGCCATAGGTAATATGATTTAAAGCAAATACAAGTTATGTATATGTGGTGATTGTATTAGAATGACTTAGTTACTGTCATGTTTGATATTATTGGGTCAGATTCTTGGGGCATTTTCAGCCACAACAGGGAAAACCAGCACTGTGGGAGTTAGATTCAGATCAGCATTACACCATCAGGAAACTTGGGCTGTATTTTGCAGATGACAATATTAGGTAAAGAGTGGATTATTGAGTTGCACTAGCTTTTGTCCTCTAAATTTAATGGAGCATTTGAGGGGAGGATTATACTTTTATGGTGAAAGACTTAGTGCCCTACAAATATTTAATTTTCAAGAATTTAATCGTTATATATGTACTTTGATATTTTGAGATCTATATGTACAATATATAGATTTATCTTTTACTTTGAGCATAGTTCTCAAACTGAAAATATTGGTCAAGCATATGGATAGATGTTGATGATTTTGTGGTTTGAGGAATGCAGAATGCCTTTTGTAGAACAGTTTAAGTAGTTTGAGGCAGTGTTGGTACTGTAAGCATATTTTTATTTTTCCTCACTCTTAAGTTTACAGGGTAAGTTTGGCCCATCCTTTCTTTTCCCCACTTAAAAGCAACTTTTAAGCTAAAGTTGAATATAATAACTTAAAAAATTAAGTTGTATTATTATTATTTTTATTTTTTTTAGGGTTTAGGGTTTTTTTTTTAAAAAACAAATCTCAAATTTATATAAAATTATTTATCTCATCCAATAAAAGATTATATTAATAAAATAAAAAAAATATTAAGTAAAATTATTTTAATAATAATAGAAACAAATAAAAATATTGAAGAACAAAATATTGAAAGTTTAATTTTTAAAATTTCCAAAATTAGTTAACTAATAAATTTTATTTTAATGATGATCTGCAAATAATATATAATATTAATTAAGAAAAATTAATTTAAATTATAAATGATAAAATATTTAAGTAATTATATATTGTTCAATAATATTTTTAAAGATATAAAAACTTATTTTGGCTAAATTCAATAATATTAAATTACATTAAAACTATTCTAAAAGAAATATATGTCAAAACAATCAATAAAATAATAAACACTTCATGCGATTATATTAATATATATTATTTTTTCTTAAAAAACTATAATTAACAATCAAAAGAAGTGAAAAAAGTTAATATAAAAAAATTTTGCAAGATGAAAAATAGCTAATCAGAGTTTATAAGAGAGCAAGAGTTTAAACAAATTAATAGAGAGCAAGAGTAACCCACAATCAAAATAGAAAAAATAAAATACATGGACATAGCAACTAGTAAGACTCAAATTGGGGTACTTACAAAAAAACTCCACTAATGCTCCACTTAAGTTCCTTGAGTTAGCTCTTCTAAAATCTTTTATTTTTTACTTATTTTTTCTTCACAAATTTTAAGCTGCTTATTTTTTTAAGGGCTTTTTTACAAATGTGCTTGTCCCAACTTATAAGTAAAAATTAAGCTACAAATAAGCTGGGTCAAATGCCCTCAGTTTAGTCTAGTTGCTTCTTTTTCCCCTCAGGCTTCTGCTTGCAAAACTGAATTGCTACTATAAAAACTGGATACTTTATTTAGATGGTCTTGTTCATGAAGTTGAGTTGTTGTAAGCTTTGACTTAAGATCTATGTGAGGACAATATTATATAGGCAAAGTGTAATCTCAAATTTATCCTTTATTGAGGATGAAAGCAGATGAATAAAAGTGAATTTGTGCCTTGTGGGTTTTATTAAATGATATTGTCTAAAAAATGTCTTCCACTGTCAAGATTGACAAGGCTGTTCATTTATTTTGGTAGGTCATCTATGAAAAGATCGCTATCAGATGGTAACATTATCAGTGAAAGTGACAATACAATTAGGAACTTGAATGTTACAAATTGTCAGCACTTATCTGAAAAACCTGATAAGCGTTTTCTTTCGGGGTCTACTCCAGACATCTTTACTTGTGGAAGCGACATTTGTCATTGCAGGTATTCTAAATTGATATTTTGCATGCCATATTAAGCAATGTAATGTATCTTTGAAAGACCAGCTGAAAATTTGACAATAACATGGGCACAAAGAGCTAGACAGGACCAGGCCTCTGATTAAATTGCATTTACTCAACTCAAATATGATTATCTATTGTCCTGAATATGAGTTCTAGGAGGAATCATGCAGTCAATTGGGACATGAATTGTACGGCTTGTGAAGGTGTATGGATTAGCCCATGGAATCCGTTGTCTAAAAGTATTTCCTTGAAATATTTTTGGAGGGGAGAATGGAGGGAAAGTACAGGTGGATTATTGTGCAGCCCCCAAAAATCCTCTTATTAATTTTTATTTTAGAATATATAGAAACTATTTATAATTGTTTTATAGAATAAAGTATCCTAGGAGTTGTTTTCTAGTTTCATTTATATAAAACTAGTAGGAGAAAGAGGTACTTTTTGCCTTTGAATATTTAATTTTGAGAGAAGAAGATAGTTGTAAGAGAAAAAAGAAAAAATATTTAGATTTATAAATAAGTAACTGTAGATGTTGATAAGAGTGGGTTTTTATCATTATAAAAACAAATCATAGTGTGTGATATAGTTTCAAGGGTAAAAGTGTATAATTTAAAAATAGAAACTAAAGAGAGGTTACAAAAAGAAGTATCCCCTTTATAGTAGTTATAGATGAGTTGTTTCCTTTTAAATAGGATGGGAAAAATAGTGTATTACAAGTAGGGATTAGTGCTTTGTATTTTGTATCACATCAGTATATATAAGAGTCTTTTATTCACTCTCTTTTCAATCTCTGTAGTTTCAACCGTTATGCACATTTTAGAGCTCCCCACTTTGAAAGGATTTAAACACGGGGAATGAAACTTATTTAAATAGTACTAGTGCTTTCCTTTTGGAACCTATTCTCTTAAATTTCTTAGCAAGGATCTTGGGGTCAGTGTTACTTGTGGACCTTACTAGTTCATTTATAGGTATATATGATATACCCCTCTTTTTATCCATTGGTAGAGGAATAACTCCCTCTTTCAATTTTGGGAGGATGTGCAGTTAGGGAAATCTATATTCTTTAATATCTTTCCCTGCCTCTCACATCTCTGTTTCATGTCATGCTTCAAAATCTCATTTTGCTAGGCAGTATAATTTTTTTCACTCATGTTATACATTGGAGTAGAATAAATATTAGTGCTGTAAAGTAGTCTTGCTGAAGATTGATATGAAGCAAATTTTAAAGAGGTATAAAATAATAAGCTTCTGCCTTAAATTTTTGTAAATACCAAGTGCTTCTTCCTAAATTGTTAATACCTAATAACTGATTATTTTCATTGTTTTTGTTCTCGTTAAATTTCATTTGACAAGAAAATGTAGAGAGAACTGGTCAGGCACCATAGTAACCAGTCCCATTTGTGTTGTGTAATATGATCCATAGTTTGATCTGATATGATTTACTGCTCAATTCATCGTAATCTTTTGAGAGTTGTGTTTTATCAAATCATACAGGCAGATATACGAAGGAATGGTCAAGGGCCAAAATTGTGAGAGTGATCATATTTGTTACGATGAACATGGAGATGCATGTGACTGCTCCAATTTCCTTGATGTGGACTGGCTTTCTTCTTCTGGAAATTCTTGTGAAGAAGAATTACTTGAAAGGTGGTTCTGAACTTTTGTTTAGTAAAATATGGTCTTTCTTTGTCATTGGTGTTATGCTTTCCTTAAATCTTTGATGAATGGTAGGGACATATGTTGAATTTTGGGTTAATGAATGAGAAGAATGTTTTTACATTTTAACACAGCACATGTATATGTCAATTAATTTTTATTTTTTTTTACGAATTAAAAGAATTGATGAAGAACGAGAACTAAATTTTCAAGCATTTGGTGTTGACTGATGCCATTATTGTTGATGTTACAGGTCAACCAGCATCTCCTCGGAGAATATTGCAAATGAACTAGTAACTGAGACATCTGCAAGTGATTCTGGATCCAGCATTAAGGTCAGTATATGTTGTTAGTTGCAGAATAACTTAATTTGCTTCTATTGAGGAAACATTAATGACTTATAGATAAGAAGAAAAACAACAGGGCCTTTCTGTATTTCTTTTAAGACCTGTGAATAAGTCTCAATGTCGAGTTACTAGTGGAATCGTGGTTAGATCTTGGAACATCTACTTGGCAATGCAAATGTATTAGCATGATATTTGTAAGTATTAGGGATCTAGATTTGGACGTCCTAGTTTCAGCAGTTTAGGACCTCAGTTTTTGTCCACAAATTCTCTACCAACTTTCAGAATCAAATTGTTAATGTATATATTTTTTTTTTACAAATATAATTTTGATATACATCCAATGTTTGTGTTAAAGCATTTTAGCTTATCATCCAATCACATTTTATTAAAATAGCTTGACCAAATCAGTAGTTATTGTTGATGTTATAGTAAAATTTTCGATACCATGTATTATTGGTGTAAACAAGTTTTACAATAATAGTTAGAGTTTGTTTAGATACAATCTTAAAAGAGATTTTGAAAGTTTCTCTACTGAAAATAAAAAATAAAAAAAAATTATAGTATAGAAACTCTTAAAAGCTCTTCCAAACTTGAATCTGAACATGCGCTTAATCAAAATTAACATTTGGTTTGAATATTTCAGGGAAGGCAGAGTGGAGATGGAGAACTGAACAAGGATAGCAATAGCAAATACAGTGAAAGCTTTGAACGTTGGGTAACTCAAGGGGAGATGCTTTTTGTTTGACTTTTATCACCATCCATCCGAAGGATGTGGGGGTTCCTGACTTGCTGTACAGAAGAAATAAAATGGTAAGATATCATCCAAAAGCAAAAGCAAAAGCAAATAGCACTGGCAGCAGCTGACAAGTTGAGGTTTGTTCAAGGGCAACATTTGAGTTACTCATTATATTTTTCTTCATTTGGGGGGTAATGGTAGATGTCAATAGGTAATTCATTTTTGTGCCTCTCCAAACATGCCATAATAATCAACCATGTATATAATTTAAGCTGAGAAAAGAAAAAAAACCAAAAAAAACCAAAAAAAATTCATGGCTGGTGCTCAGGTTATAACTGCCTAATAAATCATGTGCAGTCAACTTTTTTGGCTCCATGGATATGTGAGCTTTTTTTTCATTATCAAGAATTGCTGATTTTTCTGTCACTGACGTTACCAAGCTGCAAAATCTTGTCCTTTATTTTCTTTTTTACGAAGTTTAAATTACATGAGTTTTGGACAGGTAATTTAATTAGTTTGAGAAGACTAAAAAACTGAGGGAAGGGGACGCTGACATGATGAAATTCCATGTTTTGGCATTGCTTGGGCCAACTTTGTGTTTATTTAAAAATTATTTTTAAAATAAAAACTTAAAAAATAATATCAAGATGTTTGATAGTTTTTATTTTTGTTAGTACTAGAGTTGTTCTGAGCGGGTGAGAGAGACGAAAGAGATTTTTTTAAAAGTTAATTTTTTATGATAAAAATAAGCTATTTAACTTGAGAGTATTTCAGAAAAGTAATTGGATCAACTTTTTTCCTTTTAAGAGAAATCCAAAAAAATGGCTCAATGACTTAACATTAAATAACAATAATGGAGCTTGATGTGTGGATCATGTATCATGTGATGTTTCCACCATAATGCAATGAACCAAATGCCAGTTGTTTTGTTGTATTTCAACTTCTATTTTATTTATTTATTTGTAACATTATTGGTTTTTTTTTCTGGGTTAATTCGGGGATGATTTTAATCATTTTATAGTTACATTTCCATGTCCCAAACAATTTGAGAGACGTCAAGACTCGAGATAAATATTGATGGCCTATTTGGGTCCAATACGAGGCATGATATTAAATTTTGTTCTTAACGCAGCACTTCTGTAAATCTAACATCATGCATTATGGTCGTATCAACCCTATGATACCCCCGTTAATTTAGCTTCTCTGATCATCAATTCATGCCAAGAACTTTGAGCCAAATACAATCTTTTATCCTTAAATAACGCCACCTAGAATTCTTTATTCTTTCTGCATTCGTCGGTTTTCCATTCATGTATGAAGCTTCTCAGAACTTATTAAAAAAAAGTTTTGATAAAATAAAAGATTATGCGTAAATTAAAATTTTAACTATAATCGGGGTACTTTTTTTTTTTTTTTTATAAATTACTAAGGTTTGACGAATATTAGATCCAATTTAAATAGTAATAAATTGTCCCACTTTGTCTACTATGTCAGAGATATTTGATTGTCAAAGCACCACATTGTTTGAGTAGAGCAAAATGGGAGGTACTAAATTCCATATACATCTTTTGTCAAATATTGTTATACATACGAACCCCATACTTAAATGGCAATGATCTAGCAATCATCTCACCGTATTATAGCACCACTAATTATGATTAAATAATAAAATCATAACCATAATCTAAAGCTATTAGAATCGTGACACATCGAGGGGAAAATCTTGCAAGACATGATAGAGATCACTTTTAGTACGTTGTGAAATAAAGACAATTTACGTATAAAGACAATCTAAAGCTTTGAAACTTTGATAATGCACATCAGAAATCTCTTCATGTGCACAAAAAATTGAAAGCATTACATAAAACTTAATTTCCCTAACAATGCCAAATTACGAATAAATAGCCAATAGAACGATTTAGAAAGGCAGTGACACCAATAGAACGATTTTTAAAACAGTTAGTGTCCCAACAGTTCTTTGAATGGTTTTTCTCATGACATGGCCAAAAATTGCATTTTCATTTTTGTAAACGAATTTCGATTAGCCGCTCCTAAATTGCCAACTAAACCCAGCTTTACAATCGCGAGTCATTCAAAGTAATTCATAATTCCATCCCCATCACAAGAAAGCAAAATGGGGGGCCAAAATATCATTACCAAACATTCATTAATCATGACTGCATAGAGAAAAACAATAAAATCTTGCCCAATATACCATGTTAATAATATTTCTGCCACTCATACCAAAATAAAAAATAAAACAAGTTCCTTTGCTAAAAAAAACTGATCCATATTTTACTCCGAACAAAGATAAACGTAAACTAAATTGCGGGACAAAATCATAGAAACCAAAAACAATAAGCTTAATCCCAGCCAGTTGGTTGAACAGATTCAATTCCGGTAGGCGGGATTTGTGGTGGTGGGACAGCTTCACCCCAATCTCCTGCTGCTGCTGCTGCTGCTGCTGCTGCAAAAGAAGCTTTTGTTCATCAAATCATGAATACATGGTTCCTAAATACAACTAAAAACTGAATGCAAAGATCACACATCCTAAATTGTTGTCAGATAAAAATGTAACAATAAAGCAACAGTCAAATAAGGAAGAGACATACAAGAGTCAATCATATCAAAAGATTACAGAATAAGAAAAAATAGCCCAAGAACAGCAATCAAAACAATTCAGATTAATCTAGCTTTATATAATTTCATCAATCACATACCTGGAGCTTCTGCAGGTGCCCCCCAGCTGACACCAGGTGCAGCTGGAATAGGCGCTGGAACTGCATCAGTCCATGTTTGATCAATTGCACCAGGCCATTGCCCATCAGCAGCAATAGCACCAGCATTGAAGTCTGTGATGGCATAATCACCTGCTGCAGCTTCCTCCTCCTCTTGTTGCTTCGCCTCCTCTGGTTCTCTATAGAAGAACAAGTCCACCTGCATCAACGAAAAAATTAAGCCAAGGAATTCCAACATAACCATACCAAGATGTTAGCCCACCCCCAAACTAACCCATCGTAAACAAAATGACACCATACAAATTACTAACAAAGCACAGAACATCCTCCCCCCATAAAGAACTACAGTCATACAAAGAAAACTGGGTGAAAAAAATGTATTTTACCATGACATCCCATTTGAGACCAGGGCGAATGGTACCACGCATCTGCAACACCATCCTTGCAAGAAGCCAAAAGAGACAACCAATGCTGTGCTTTCCCTTGTTGTTGGCAGGAATTCCAATGTCAACATACCTCATAGGTGAATCAGTGTCACAGAAAGCAATGGTGGGGATATTCCCAAGAGCAGCTTCCTTAATAGGCTGCACACAAACCAACACACTTCAAAAACACATCAAGGCAAGACAACCACATAACACCACACCACATCGACAATCAAACGATATGAATCTAAAGCCAAAAGAAAAAATCATTTTTCCATATAACCGTGAGTGGTATTAACCTGGTGATCAGTTCTTGGATCGGTGAGAATCAAAAGGCGAGGCTCACTGAAGGAAGTTTGAAGCTGATTGGTGAAGGTACCGGGAGTGTGCCTTCCAGCAATAGCATGAGCACCAGTGTACTGAGCAAACTTCAGAATCGCTCTCTGACCATAAGGCCTCGCGGATTGAACAATGATATCCTGAGGATTCTCAATTGCAACAATAACCCTAGCAGCAAGATGAAGCTTCTCCCATGTCTTACCAAGGTTAATGATGTAAATCCCTAATCCCAATTCCAAATCCACATTAATCAAAACTCTATTCTATTCCTCTATTAACACAATATGATTATAAAGATCTAACACAGAAGTTTTAGTTTGTTACCGTCATTGCGGCGCTTGAAGATGTAACGCTCCATCTGAAAATCGCAGTTTTTGGTGCCGAGGTGGACGTCGGCGGCCAACATCATCTGGATGTCGGCTTCCTTCTGGGAGAGCGTGCGCGGCGGGGCTGCGGCGGCGTTGGTGGTAGCCATGGCTGCTTGCGCTAGAAACTCCGAAACGCAATTCCTGGTGTTTCACTGAACGCAACGAGAAGCTTTAGGAACTGAAGCTGCGCTGCGTTTCTAATATATGGCGGAAAACCCTAATAGGGTATTAGGTTTCTCTCTGGGCTTTTATTATTTTGGGTTTTAAAACTAACTGGGCCTGTAGGGAGTCATGTGTTTTGGGCCTATAAACCATGGTGAATTCAATGGGCTTCCAAACGAGGTATTTACTATTTGCAATGTAACTCAGATTAGACAACTTCTTTTATATATAAGCACACCTCCTTTTCAAAAAAAAAATAATTAAAATTTTAAAATATTTTTAATTTTTTAATTTTTTATTTCTACATTCACAATATTTAATTTAGTATTTTTCTTTTACACATTTTCCCTCCTTTTTTCAATTTTATACGCATTTTCTTACTTTTCCTTCATCCACCTATTTTAATAGTATATGAAAGCTATAAAAAAAATGTGAAAAAGAAGAAAAAAATAGTAAATTAAAAATTAAAAATGTAAAATTATTTTATAATTTTTTAAAAAAATAAAAAAGATTTACTTATAAAAAAATGGAAGTAAATATATCATGAGAGATGTTATAATTCTAACTCGTTCGGGTTGGTATCTGCTCCCAAGACACATTTTCTGTCCAAGTGCAAGTAGCTAACATCTTCACATACATGTTTATTTCTTTTTGAGTTTCTCTATGCTTCCAAAAATTAATGATAAATATCAAGAAATTAAATTCTAATTATTTTTAAGAACATATAATTATTAGAACCTTTGATAAAAATAATAACAAAATGTTTTATATGAATCAATTTTTTTTTTAAATTATATGAACTCTTAGGATTAATTTGAAAAAGTTTTAGAAATGTATAAGAATAAAATATTTTTGTTGAAAACATTCACCTAATGAGTTATCTGGGAATTTTTACAATAAATGAAATATACAAAATTATAATTCACAATTTTTACAACCTTATTTAATCAATTTAGAAATAATAATTAGTTGATATTAGTAGAGACACATAATTTTTCATAACAATTTATTGATATATATAGTCATATAATATGATTTCAATATCATAAATTTTTACTTTTATGTAGTAATTAGAGATGAATATACATCATGTATTGAACACAGTATATGAACTAACTTATTTAAAGTTTAACTAAATTTAATTTATTTTTAATAAAAAATTAAATTTATACTTTTATAAAAATTTAATTATTTAAATAGATTGAGTTTAGTCTTATAAAAAATTTGTTAGATTATTCTATTTATCTATATGATATGATAAAAAAAATAATATATATTACATTTTTAGTAATATAATTAAATAAATAAATTTTTAATATAAATATCGATATTTTTGACATTTTTACTATACTTAAATGTTTTACATTTTTAATTTGTTCATATGAAATTAAGAAATCGAAAATAAAAATGATAGGAGTTGCATCTTCGTCTACTCTTTTCTTTCATCTTCATAATTAGTTATTTATAATACTTCAAATGATATATAAAACAATATTTAAATTTTTTTAATAAAAATATCTTCATTCATTACATTTTGTGTGTGAATGTATATAAATATGTATGAACTATCTATCAGCTAGTTTTTATTTTTATTTTAAACTATAAATTTTAATAATAATAGAGTTAAATATTTTTTATCATATAAATTAAAAAATATACATATACTTAAAAATATAATTATTAACTTATCTAAAATTAAATTTATTGATTTATTTGACGTTATTAATGTAAAATATTATTTTAGTAGTAGGTCATACCAGATTTTTTAAAAAAATTGGATCATACCTATAAAAAAAAAATTGTAATAAATTAGAAGCTAGACTTAAATTTTAATTATATAAAACAAATTCAACATATATATATATATATAAAGTATGGTTTACTTAACTTATTCTCATTTCTATTTATCACTCATAAATATTTACATGGAAAATATTTTATAAATATTTAAATAAATACTCACTTAATAATAAGATGAAGATAAATAATAAAGTAAATGGACAAATCCATAATTTAAAAATACATTTATTATATATAAAATAATTTTTAGTGCAATTAAATCTTGATAATTTTATTTTTTTAATATAATTATATATTTCATTATTTGTTATGAATAATAATTAGTGGCTTAATTAGTGGATGTCAATATTTATTATCAATCATTACCATTTATATTTCCGTTATGTATTATTCTCTTTATTGTGTAATTGTTCAGTTATCACATGTACTTATAAATAGGTTACTCCTTTCCCAAAGATAATACACCAGTCGGATTCTTTTCTCTATCTCATACTGTCTTATTTCTTCTCTCTACTTTTTCTTCCTTTTATAACACGTTATCAGCACGATAATCTTTTATCTATTGTTGTTGCAACTACGAGAGAAAGCTGTTTATCTATTGTTGTTGCAACTACGAGAGAAAGCTGTGAAGAATTTTCTTGAAGAAAGTCATATTTTTCAAGACAAATATTTCAAGGTTAGTTATTCATTTTTCATAATAAGAATTTTATCAAATATTTGTATTATTTACATTATTATGAATCAAAGTACTCTTAAAGACATTATAGTAGTCCTGAAGACACTATTAAATAAAGAAATTCTTCATACATTTTTGAAATATGTATAGAACACACTATCAAAGAAGAATGGTGAAAATAAAAATTCTTCATACATTAAGGTTTTTTTTTCTCACCAGAAGTGGGAAAATGGTGAAAAAAAAATGAAATGGAAGGAATAAATTTTCTTACTAGAAGTGAGAAAATAATATGAAAAGTGAAAAATAAAATAAATTTCACCAAAAGTGAAAATTTTGATATAAATATATTATATTGTATTTGATCCTTTGATATAAATGAGGTCATCACCGGAAGTGGAATAATTTTGTAAATGTCATAATTATAATGTTGAATGATATTTGAGGTACTTCTAAAAATTATGACTAGCAAAGCATGTCCTCAAGCCTATTTAGGTTTTGTGTGATTTCTTGTAGATTATGAGTTTTCCTACATCTGTAATTTGATATTGTTAATGATTAAATTGATTGAAATAAGCAACTTGTCATGTAATTGAATTCAAGTGTTACGTTATTGAATCTTAAAGGGTTTGGTTTCAAATCTCATTGATATAATTGATATTATTTGTTTTCATAATGTTATGCGTCTATTATTTTAATTCATGGAGATATCATTAAATTATAATTTGATTGTGATTTGTACAAAAATATAGAATTTAATGAAATTGTGATCAATGTTTATTTCCTTATTTTTTCGAAACAACATTTATAAGGAGAATAATTTTCCTAATTTTTAGCATTATTTTTTATCTCCTTAAAGTCAACCTAGTAATGACATAAATATATTTTTATTAAATGATTTTTTTTAATAAGTATAATGAGAAAGATTCATTTTTTTTATAACGAAATACATAAACAAGTTATGATTTTTTTTCAAATGAATATATGATTGTGTTGTATCATTCATTTCCTAAAATGATTAAAATAAAGTGTTAGTGAGATATGTTTTTAATTTTTTTTGTATGAATCATTTATTTGTAGATAATATACATGAGATGATATATAAAAATATAAAAAAAAAAGATAGTGTAGATTTTGATATTAAATTGATGTCTAAAGATACATAACAAGAATGTCATTTTTATAATGATTTCTCAATTTGAAAAATATGTTATATATTTTTCATACATCTATTTTGCTCCAGAAGTAGCAATATTTTTTTTATATAAAAAAAAGGGATTAAGAAATATCCTTAGTTGGTTTATTGTCTCTTGAAGACTAAAATAAAATATTGAGATTTTTTTATGCAAGAGACCATTTTAACTATTATTATTTCATTCCCTGAAGTGAATGTTCTAATGTATTAATTTTTGTCTTCTCATATTCAATAATGCGAGAAATTAATGTTATATGATACTACAAATATAATTGAAGGCTTCATAAGAGCTAATATATTATTACTGAAAGACACGAAGTTGCATATTAAAAATGCATTATATTTTTTTAAAAGTCTTACAGAAACTTATTGAGTTTTAAGGATATTCGTTTAAATGAGTTTCATATTGAAACAAACAATGAAAGAAATGTAGAATATCTCTATATCACGAAACTCCACTTGAATAAAAAGGAAGTACTGGAAAATTTATTTGTTTTTTCCTATAGACTGTATTGCACGTATATTAATACAATTGAAACACATATTATTGTAAACCAGAAGTTTACAAATCAAAATAAATTTGAGGTTTGGCATGACTAGTTGGGTCACCATAAGACTATTATGATGCGAAAAATAATTGAAAATTCATGTGGACATTTATTAAAGAACGAGGAGATTTTTCAATTAAATTTTCTCATGTACTGCTTGTTCCCAAAGGAAGTTAATAATCAGATCATCACCAGCAAAAATTGGGGATGAATCTATCTTATTTTTAGAACGGATACAAGGTGATATTTGTGGACCAATACACCCCCATGTGGACCATTTAGATATTTTATGATTTTAATTGATGCATCAACAAGATGGTCACATATTTGTTTATTATCAATTCACAACCAGACATTTGCGAGATTATTAACTCAACTAATTAGATTAAGAACTCATTTTCCTGACTATCCAATTAAGAAAATTCGTTTTGATAATGCTGGTAAATTCACATCTCATTCTTTTAATGAGTTGATTTTCCCAACATTAGGGGGAGAACACAAATAGCTAGAAAAATATATTAGTTGGAATGAATTATCACTATCTCATTTTGATCTTCGTTCAAAATAATGTGAACTAGATGTTCAAAAGATAAGTCATTTGCAAAATCTAGCCAACCAATTACCAAATGTATTCACAGATCCAAATAGGGTGACTAAGTCATATGTACCAGCAACTAATGCTCCAATAAGAGTCAAAATCTCTGTTGGACAATTTAATACTACAATATATATGAGTCACAAATACGCCTGAAGCGTGGTAGACCAATTGGTTCCAAGGATAAAAATTCTCGAATAGAAAAGGAAGTTAAAGAGCAAAATGACCAAATTGAGGATGTAAAAACTCAAAAAATATTTCTTTGACATAACTAATATTTCAGTTTTGGAAGAAACTCAGATACCTGAAATTATTGAAAATGAAGAGATCTCAATAAATTATGTCATGAATGGAATACGATGGAATAGAAAACAATGTCAATATTGATGATGTATTTGTATATAATATAGCGCTAAATGAAATAAATGATATTGAGGATCAAGAACCAAAGTCCATCAACGATTGTCGACAAAGAAATGATTGGCCAAAATAGAAAGATGTAATTGAGACAGAATTAGACTCGCTTGCTAAGCGAAAAGTTTTTTGACCATTACTACATACACCAAAAGATGTACAACCAATTGGATACAATTGGGTTTTGTGCAAAAACGAAATGACAATGGTGAAATTGTGAGATACAAAGCAAGACTAGCTGCTCAAGGTTTTTCACAAAGACCCGATATTGATTTTGAAGAGAGATTCACCTGTAGTGGATGCAAACAGTTTTCGATATTTAATTAGTTTGGTTGTACATGAAAAACTTAATTTACATCTAATGGATGTAGTTACAACATATTTATATGGCTCTCTTGATGCAGACATTTATATGAAATTTCCAGAAGAATTTAATTTTCCTGAAGATGCAATTTCTAGAGAAGATTATTTGATCAAATTGAATAAGTCCCTATATGGGCTAAAGCAATCAGGTCGTATGTGGTATAATCGACTAAGTGAATACTTGTTACAAGAAGGATATAAAAATGATCCAATTTGTCCGTGTATATTTATAAAAAGATCTGAAAACGGATTTGCCATAATTGTAGTTTATGTAGATGACATAAACATTATTGGAACTCTTGAAGAGCTTTCAAAAGCAATAGATTGCTTAAAGAAAGAATTTGAAATGAAGGATCTAGGAAGGAAAAAGTTTTGTATAGGACTGCAAGTTGAATACTTAGAAAATGGAATTCTTGTGCATCAAGAAACTTATATAACAAAGGTGCTTAAAAGGTTTTATATGGACAAATCACATCCATTGTGCACTCCCATAGTTGTAAGATCTTTAGATGTTAACAAAGATCCATTTAGACCCCAAGAAAAGGATGAAGAAATACTTGGTCCCGAAGTATTATATCTTAGTGCTATAGGAGTACTAATGTACCTTGCTAATTATACACGACCTGATATAGCATTTACTGTTAATTTGTTAGCAAGATATAATTCTTCACCTACACGAAGACATTGGAATGAAGTTAAACAAATTCTTCGTTATCTTAGAGGTACAATGGATATGCGATTATTATATTCAAATGTTCTCAAACCATAACTAAATGGTTATGCAGATGCATGTTATTTCTCAGATCCTCATAATAGTAAATCACAAACAGGATATTTGTTTACAAATGGTGGTATAGCCATTTTATAGCGATTTGTAAAACAAACCATATCAGCTACTTCATCTAATTATGCTGAAATTTTAGCATTACATGAGGTAAGTCATGAATGTGTTTGGCTAAGATCTATGATTCAACACATACGGGAAACTTGTGGTTTATCTTCTAGAAAAATGACATCGACAATTATATATGAAGATAATGCTGCATGTATCGCACAATTGAAAGATGGATACATAAAGGGAGATAGAACAAAGCATATTCTACCAAAATTCTTTTTTACTCATGATCTTCAAAGGAATGGTGATATAAATGTTCAACAAGTCCGCTCAAGTGACAACCTAGTAGATCTCTTTACAAAGTCACTTCCAAGAAAAGTTTTTGAACAGTTGATATACAAGATTGGACTCGGTTGTCTTAAAGATTGTATGCATGAGGGGGAGAAATAAATATTTATGAATGATGTACTCTTTTTCCTTCACTAGGTTTTTATCCCACGGGGTTTTTCCTAGTAAGGTTTTTAACGAGGTACATTCTAAATATTGGACATCCAAGGGGGAGTGTTATGAATAATAATTAATGGCTTAATTAGTGGATGTCAATATTTATTATCAATCATTACCATTTATATTTTCGTTATGTATTATTCCCTTTATTATGTAATTGTTCAGTTACCACATGTACTTATAAATATGTTACTTCTCTCCCAAAAATAATACACCAGTCAAATTCTTTTCTCTATCTCATACTGTCTTATTTATTCTCTCTACTTTTTCCTCCTTTTATAACATTTTTGATTATTTGATACAATTTCATATATATACGAAATCAAGGATATCAATTCTTATACAATAGTTTCGGCATAAAATAATATTGTATATTCAATTATTAGTTTTTATTGTAGTCAATCTTAATTTATTCCATTTATTATCAAAAATTCCAAAATTAAATTAAATTAATTATAAAATTTCAGAATTTTCTTGATATATTTCAGAAATTAATTATCAATATCTATACTTACGTTAATAAGGAGATACCTTGTTTTTGTAATTAATTTTTTTTTATCTTTTAACTAATTTTTCAACTATTCTATTATTATGAAGTTAATTATACAATTTTTAATTTCATAATTTTTGATTTCTTTTTTTAAAATCTATTTTTATGACAACACTCATTCTTATTCATTTATATCTATATATAAAAGAGATTATTTGTTTTGATGTAAACATTAATATTGTTAACAATTTTATCTTTTAAAAAAATATATAATAATTAATAAAAGTCAAAAAAGTCTTTTAATATATATATATATATATATATATTTAATCTCTTAATAACTATTCATTATCTTTATCAACTTGGATGTAGTAAAAGAAAAATAGAATATACCTACTAATTTATACTAATATATAAAGAAACTGTTGAGGATAATTCTAGATCTGGTCCAAGACGAACTGTTGTAGGAAATTTATTGAAACCATTAAATTCAGAGTATGGTAAAGTAACTCCGCGGTGGGGAACTACTCCTTTGATGGGTGTTGCAATGGCTCTATTTGCGATATTTCTATTTATTATTTTAGAGATCTATAATTCGCACATTTTACTGGACAGAATTTGAGATATCACTTTCAATAATTATTTTTTATTTTCATTTTTATATGAATCATTTTATTCTTTGTTTATTTTCCATAATTCTCTAAGATCACCTTTTTTTATAAGTAACTTCTCATTTTTTTCCTTTTTCCTATTTTACTCTATAACTATTTATAAAAATAATTATTTTTTATTTTAATATAATGCAGACACAAAATACCTTTCTCCTCCTAGTTATTAATAAGCGTGATTGATTTTTTTTTGTATACACCTTTTGTTAATCATTTTATCTTTGTAACTTCTAAAAATGAATTTTTTTTTATATTTCTTTTTATGAAAAAATATATTTTTAATTTTTTTATTATACTCTATTACACTCGTTATTAACTGCTCTCATACTTAACTTCAAATACTTTTTATTTATTAATATTATTATTACTTATTTCTAAATAAAATACAGTGAGACTAGAAGTGTCTTGCAGGCCAGTTTCTTATAATAAAAAAAAATACAAAAACACAAGAATGTAAAAAAAAGAAAGGATAATGTGTTTTGGGCCTTAAAGTTGGATTTTATGTGAGAGGCCCAACTGGTTCTTAAACCCTACTTGCTTCTTCTTCATTCTATGCAACTGTGAAGTGGTTCTGTTCTTCCTTGTTCCACATGCAACAATGGTGAAATCCAAATCCAATTCCAATTCCAATAAGTCAAAGAAACCGGAGGACGTTGAGCTTATCAAATCCGACGTCGCCGCCTTCGCCTCCTTGATCGGGCTTTCAAATTCACAACCCGATTCTGGTTTCAACGATGTCGATTTTCGCAGTGCGAAGCCAAACAAGCCCCCAAAGAAGCACCAAACACCTGAACAAGTTGTGCCCCAAAGTTCCCAGAATCCAAAGAACAAGACTTTGGGCAAAAACAATGGACCCCACGACAAGCGCAACCCCAAACCCGAACCGAAACCGAAACCCCCTGTGCTGTCACTGGAGAATGATTCCAACAAGGAAAAGGGGTTCAACAAGTTCAGGAACCTTCCCAAGCTTCCTTTGATGAAGGCAAATGGCTTGGGAGTGTGGTTTGAGGACATGGCTGAGTTGGAAGGGAAGGTGGTGGGGGAAGGGAAGAAGGTGGAGGTAAAGAATGTGGGAGAATGGAAAGGGTTTGTGGAGAAGAAGAGGGAACTAGGGGAGAGGTTGATGGCACAGTATGCTCTTGATTATGAGTCATCAAGGGGGCAGAGCAGTGATATTAAGATGTTGGTTTCAACACAGAGGTCAGGAACTGCTGCTGATAAAGTTTCTGCTTTTTCTGTGTTGGTGGGGGATAATCCAATTGCTAACTTGCGTTCTCTTGATGCTCTTTTGGGTATGTTAAGTTCCCATGTTTCTCTTTCGTTCTTTCTTTTTTTGGGGCTAGTTTGAGCTGTTATGCAAGTGTTTACATTGGTTTTATTTCTTTTAAGTGTTTCTAGAAATGTGAAGTATTAGTACGAGAGTTGAAGGATAATCATTGGGCGTTCGAAAAGGAATTGTTCTGAGTAGTTTTTCTAGGCAATGTGAGGGCTTACTTGTTTGCTTAAGATGGAGGAGGGGGGGGGTGTTGAGATTCATTTTGTCTTTGAAACCAAAGAGTTGCTTACATGGAGTCTTTATTGGTGGAGGTGAATGATTCTTATGAATTCTCGTGTGTTTTATTTTTTGATTAATGAAGGACTTTTTTTCCTTTTATGTTTTTGGCTATTTAATCATGTTATCAAATGATGCCTTTTAAAATCTGCTTCGCCTGCATTTTGGAATCTTAGAGCACCTCCAATGGGTTGCTTAAAAGTAACTCCACTTGCCACATCAGCCTGAAAAGAAGCAAGTGAGTTGCTTAAAATTTACCAAAGTTGCTTATATAAGCACCGGTTCTTAAGAAAAAGGGAAAAAGTGAGGCTGATGTGGCAAGTGGGGTTACTTATAAGCAACCCCATTGGAGATGGCCTTAGTGGCCCTCTAATGTGAATGTGGCATATACATACTAGACTTATATTTAATTCCATAAAAGAAAATTTGATATATTTCCAAGCAACACCTATCTGTTTGCTACCTAAATTTGAAGCAGATGAGATTCAAACATTATTCCGGCATTGCACTTGGTATATGTATTTGCAGTGAGGTTGCCTCTCATTCTATTTATACCTTGGCTTTACAGAAGAGCATATATTGTCTTTTGTATTTCCCATATGTGCTTTAAGACTTGAGCTATTGACAACGATTGTTATTTAATCTAGGAATGGTGACATCCAAGGTTGGAAAGCGCCATGCCTTGACAGGATTTGAAGCACTGCAAGAATTATTTATTGCAAGGTCTGCATCTTCTCCTCCCCCGTTCACTTACCCCTCATTAGGAAAAGGAAAACTCTTATCATTAAAATGTAATTGTTAACAGCTTTTCAAAATTTTTTTATGAAATGAGATTTTTAAAGTTGTGGAAATCATCAAATTCGAAAGATAATAATATATTTCATCTCTCCTTTGCACATCTCACATTACTCCGACAACAGTAGCCCCTGTTTATATGTATTACATGTCATTCAGTGCTCTGATCTACGACATTATTTTACTTGCAGCTTATTACCAGATCGTAAATTGAAGACCTTGATACAGCGGCCCCTAAATCATATTCCTGACACTAAAGATGGTTACTCCCTTCTCCTTTTCTGGTATTGGGAGGAATGTTTGAAGCAGAGGTATGTGAAAGAACACTTTGTACATTTTCATATTAAATAATTTCTCTGATCTGACTTGGTTAAGGATTTCTTAAGTAAATTTTCTGCCAGTACATTTTATGAAGTGCATCTTTTGTTTCATTTACTTTGGATGCTTTCTATACATTAAATTATTTGCTTAAGAATAATTGAATTCTAATGATCATTTACACACAAAGTTGTTAAACTCGAGAGCTTACTAAACTCAGGGAGGTTTCGTAAATTCAAATTTTAAACTTGTAAGAGTTTACTTAATATAAAAAAAATATAAAATACTAAATATCATAATAACTCAACATTGCAACTCCATATTAAAACAAAATAGCAAACTACATCAATAAAGTAGCAAAGCTTAATAGTACATTACTACTTATTACTTAATAAGATCAAACTACACCAAATCAGTTACTAATATAAAAAAGACAGAAATCAATTAACATATTATCACTTATATTATAAATGTCAATAAATAGTAACAAATAAACATTTTGAGTAAAAATAAATAAAATAGAGAACTAAACAGTAGGTTGGGGGTCACTGGTCTGCGTTTTGAACTTTGACTGTTCAGTAAAAAATGGTTGGCTAGAGCAAAATAGGGATCTCACGAGCTTGTCTGGTTATTAGAGATAAACGAAGGTAAATAGACCTTCAATGCTGATGGGTCTTGCCAACAGTGTTGAACAACTGAGTAGATGAGAAGCAGCAGACTGAGTGAACAATATATTGCACCCAAGAAGCAGCAAAGGAGAGATGAGAAGCACAACAAAGAAGAGATGATCAGAAGCACTGCAGAGAAGGGATGAAGAAATTGCAATGGGATAGAAGAGAGTTAGGGCTCTGTGTTGTGAATCAAAATCGGACCCAAAACATGATGCACAAAGTCGTTTTGGGGGCAGTTTTTTATAGGCAAAACAGAATTGCCCAATCAATATGGAACTCGCAATCCTACATGATTCTATATGATTTTGCTCAAGTTAGAATGAGCCCACCCATAAATGATTCTGCAATCAAGTTACTTCGTTTTGGTGGAGTAGAAACATATACTCAAATGGGTTTACGAGTGCAATGGTGATTTTGATAACCATGTTTATACACATTAATTAATATTTTTCTTGAGGAATCACAATATTCCCATGGAAAAATAGGAGAAAGGGCTTACTAATACTAGTAATTGACTGTCCAAAACTTCCCTACATCACTTTACAACATACATTTTGCTTGAGGAATATTTCCAATTGTCAATGATACTGAATTTTGCTGTCCCACTTAAGCTCTTTTGTTATTGATGTACTGAAAAGCTTCTGATGTCTCAGATATGAACGGTTTGTTGTTGCACTTGAAGAAGCATCACGAGACATGCTACCCGCTCTAAAAACCAAGGCATTAAAGGTTGGTTTTCTGTTCAGACTTTGTTTCTTTTATTTTTGGGTTCCCGTTTTACACTTGATAACTAAATATTTTCGCTTTCAAGTTACAAAGTGACTTGAGATTACTATAAGAAAAGGATTGCTAGTATTATCAACTAAATAAACTTAAAACATTTTTTACCTTAAACTACCAGAAAATACTTGAAAACTTGTAATTTATTTTTGTGTTTTGAGATTTAGGGTGTGTTTAAGTAAACAACTTAATCAAAGCATTTATTCCATATTATCTATCAAATAAAAGTTTATTCATAATTTGAAATGTGAAGCTTGATGAAATAAGCTAAAAATGCTTATTTTTGTATTTCCTTTACATGAAATGAGCTAAACGGAGCTTATGAGAAGGTCATTAGCTCTCATTTACTCCACCTTAGTGTAACATGTTCTCAGATATATTGAATGTATTATTGTATTAACTGTTGTTATTAATTAATAACTATTGGGTGGGTTCCTTTGTTGCTTGCAGGCCATATATGTGCTATTGAGCCGGAAGTCAGAGCAAGAATGCAGACTACTTTCCGCACTGGTTAATAAAGTGAGTTAACAGTAAGCTATGGCCTGTCTGAATTTATTGTGTTTAATCTTCATTTGATCTAGATACATTCGGTGGTTAGTGAGCTCACTAGCAGTCTAGAACTACTACAACCTATTACTAAGACTCTTTTATTTTACTGTGGCTTTTATCTCTTGCTTTTGCTTGGTTCGTGGGTGGTGGCATTGTTATTATTTCAGCTTGGGGATCCAGATAATAAGGCAGCATCTAATGCTGACTATCACTTGTCCAACCTTTTGTCTGACCACCCAAACATGAAGGTATGAACATTATTCAACCCCTCTATTGTTTCAACCTTTTTGCTTTAGCAGAAATGGTTATGATATTTTCTCTAACATTCTTTTTCTAATACTATCTCTACTATTTTGGTTGAAGTTTATGAAAATTACAAATTTTGGTGGGTCCCTAGGAGAGACACATTAAATGACACGCGAGACTCACAAAATTTGTGATTTCTAATAAACTTCAACCAATTAAAGAGTGTTAGAAAGAGAATCTCAAAAAGTGTGTCATTGAATTAATGGTTTTGGGTTTCCAAGCTATTTGGCAATGATATACATTCTTGACAGTTAGACTCCTATTTACCTCCTAATTTGTTTTGGTTACTATTTATTTGCTTTTTAATTTGTGTTTTTAATACAGGCTGTGGTTATTGACGAGGTGGATTCTTTTCTATTTCGGCCTCATTTAGGACCACGTTCACAGTACCATGCTGTATGTCCTAAAGATTTATCCTTACTGTTTTTCTTAGATTGTTCACTGCAAAATAAGATGCACCGTGTTGTTTTTTTTTTACTCTCGTAACTTGTTACAAGAACAATGATTGCAGGAATGTTTCTGTTTGAAATCACTTTTCTGTACTTGCAGAAGTGGCCCTTCAATTTTAGATGATTTTTTGAAGTTAAATTTTTGTCCCTATCAAAATCCACCTAGATATGGTCTGACTCTCATTGACTGCTTTTTCTACGTTTTAGATTAACTTCTTAAGCCAAATCCGTCACACAAATAAAGGAGAAGGGCCAAAAGTGGCAAAACGTCTTATAGATGTATATTTTGCATTGTTTAAGGTATTTATTTTCTCTAGGATCCTTCCTTCTTTAAGCTTTATCTTGAACTGAAATATTATGATGATGTGTGGTTCTTTTAAGTTAAGTTAAAAAAATAGTAAAATGGGGAAAAGATTTACAATTAGAGATCTACAGGTTTTAATTACTGGTGCAAGCAGCAATCAGAAGAAGTTTGATAAAAGCGGCAAGGCAAACCCAAAAGAAGAAAAATCAAAAGAGTTATCAGAATCACCTGTGGAATTGGATTCTCGGCTTCTATCAGCTCTCTTAACTGTAAATATGATAATACCCATACTTTTTTATGAACTGATTTTGATTAATGATTGAGTTTTTTTATCTTGTCAAATTCAGTCATAATCGGGGTTTTCATTTGGTTTTGTCACAGGGAGTGAATAGAGCATTTCCTTTTGTCTCAAGTAATGAAGCTGATGACATTGTTGATGTTCAAACACCAGTACTTTTCCAATTGGTAATTTTTAATTTGTTAGCATCATTAAAGTCTGCAGTATGTTACAGATGGGTAGCATGAGTATTATTGGTTCTTATATATCTTAACACGAACTGAAAACTTGCAGGTTCATTCAAAGAATTTTAATGTAGGGGTTCAAGCACTGATGCTTCTTGATAAAATTTCATCCAAAAATCAGATAGCTAGTGATCGGTATTACCGTGCATTGTACTCCAAACTTTTACTTCCGGCTGCCATGAATACTTCCAAGGCAAGCAAACTCCTCTTACGTTTGCCTTTGGATAAGAAATGCATCTGCTTATGCTGTTTTTCAATCATCTGTATAATTTCCTAATGTGTTTGTCCTCAGGCAGAAATGTTTATTGCACTTCTTCTGAGAGCAATGAAAAGGGATGTTAATTTAAAGCGTGTGGCTGCATTTTCCAAACGTCTATTGCAGGTGATTATTAAACAGCACTTCCCCTACTTTTTTCCTTTTATAGATACCACCACTGATTTTTGTTTGTTCAGATTGCACTACAGCAGCCACCACAATATGGATGTGCATGCCTATTCCTTCTTTCTGAACTCCTTAAAGCCAGACCACCTTTATGGTAATTACTTTTTCTGTCATTGCTATTGTTACTACGTTTTATAACTGTGTGTGAAAGATATATATCCATTGGCATAAAACTTTATCTATTCTCTCTACATACATTTTTAGTGTGCACTGAGGATTTTACTACAGAATTGGCCAACTACACTTTTTGCCAGAAAAATAATTTACTCTTCACTTGTCTTATAGGAACGTGGTATTGCAGAACGAGGCTGTTGACGAGGAACTTGAACACTTTGAAGATGTTATAGAAACTGACAATGCACCTAGCACTGTATCAAATAAACAAAACAATGATGTTGAAGTTGTTCACAATGGTGAGGATGCCAATGCTAACACCAGCTCTTCGGAAAGTGAAGATGATCTTCCTGCATCTTCTGAAGATGATGATGATTCAGATGATGGTGCTTCAGAGGATGGGTTTTTTTTGCTTGAAAAAAATGAAACTGATCATAAGAAATCAAAATCTGTATCTGATAATGAAGGCCATCAGTCACAATTATCGGCCAAAAAGTCTACCCTGCCTGGAGGTTATGATCCACGACTCAGAGAGCCTTCTTACTGGTACTTGATTTGCTTTCACACTAGTAATCATTTCAGATATCATATGTACAAGATTTTTGCAATTGTTTGTTCAAAGCAATTTCATGTCACGTATTTTTATGTTTTTTGATAACAAAAGTACACCATTGGAGGGTATTTATATGTCAAACGTATTTATATCTTTTGTTGAATCTGACTACTAAGATGGCACCTTAGAGAGATAGAATCTACTTGGAATGATGATTTAAAAATACGAGTAAAAAATTTGTTATGCATATATTTGTAATTTATTACAATCTCGACAGTTAATTTTTAATTGATCACTGCAAGTATATTTCTTCGATTTAGAAGAGTCAGATATAGTTTGTGACACTTTATTTTCTTTATACATCATAAACTACATATTTTGTCCATTCCAACAGCAATGCAGACCGTGTAAGTTGGTGGGAGTTAATGGTGCTTGCCTCACATGCACACCCTTCAGTTGCTACTATGGCCAGAACTCTTCTTTCTGGGGCCAACATTGTCTATAATGGAAATCCTTTGAATGACCTCTCTCTGACGGCTTTCCTAGACAAATTCATGGAGAAGAAACCAAAACAAAGCACATGGCATGGTGGTTCTCAGATTGAACCTGCCAAGCAGGTAAAAGTCTTGACTTGCCAATCAACCATTCATATGCTTGCTTTTTCAGCAACATGATTTTTGATGTTAATGCACCATCCTCTAAGCCTTCTGATTCAGCTTGTTAACGTGTTTCATTTTGCAGATGGATGTTAACAACCAATTGATTGGGGCAGAAATTCTTTCACTAGCCGAGGCAGATGTACCTCCAGAGGACCTTGTATTCCACAAGTTCTACACAAACAAAATGAGTTCCACTTCTAAGCCAAAGAAAAAGAAAAAGAAGTCAGCTGATGAAGAGGCAGCTGAGGAGTTGTTTGATATTGATGATGATGGCGAGGTTGATGGTGGTGATGAGAGTGATAATGAAGAGATTGAGAATCTGTTGGATTCTGCCGATCCATCTTTGGGGGCAGATAGTGACTATGATTATGATGATTTGGATAAAGTAGCTGATGAGGAAGATGAGGACTTGATTGGTGATGATTATGATGCAGAGATAGATATACCCTCTGATATGGAAGAGGATGAGGCTGATGTTCCAATTGATGATGATGTTGTTGGAAGTGATGACGATGACATTGAGGTTGGAGATTTTGATGATGCCTCTGATGGTGATGTGGAGGAAGTTGTCAAAAGAAAACGAAAACATAAAAGTGGTGGTAAGAGTGGTGTGTCTCCATTTGCAAGCTATGAAGAGTTTGAGCATCTAATGGAAGATGATGACCATACTGATAAAAAACCTACCAAAAAAAACAAGTCTGATAATGAACCTACCAAGAAAAACAAGTCTAAGAAAAGAAAAAAGTAATCAGCTAAACTTCCCAATATAGATACGGCTGTAGCCAGATTCAGTGTTAGTAGGGCATCAACTAAATTTTGTTACCAGATGTGAGAAATTCAAATGAGGCAAGTATCGCCATGTAATTTGTATCCTATTAGTTTTAATTGTTTCATACTAGATTTGTTTGTGGCTGTTTAACTTGATGGCCCTGTATTCATCGGTATTTCAATTTGGCTGCAACATTTGGGAAGTGTACTACAAATTTTGTCAACCTAGAATCAAATTTTAATGTTAGTGTTCAAAAAATTGTTATGCAGATTGCTTACGTATTCATCAAAACGTAAGAACATACCTTGCCACAAATTCAATTAAGTTTCATTACAGGTCTCAATTGCTAATAAAAACACTATAAACACTGGCTGGGACACTTTACATTGTCACCAAACAACCTTAACTACACTAAGCAAACAGCAAAAACAAACTAAACTGAAAAAAAATAAAAAATAGGGAAACCCTTGCTCAAAGTACAAATTATTTATCCCTCAAGCAATAGCAACTTCCACAGTTTTGGATTTTGGTGGAGGAGGGTGCTTCCCAACAACCACAGTCAGAACACCATTCTCACATTTAGCTGTGATTGCAGACACATTGGCATTCTCAGGCAAACGAAATTTCCTCAGCAAATTCTGAGGCCCTCTCCTCTCTAACCTTAGATACTTGCACCCTTCATCCTCTCCATCCTGACGCTTCCTTTTCCCGTTGCTTCGAATAACAAGCGTGTTCTCATCTTCAACAGTCACCTGCAAAAGCATACATAAATATTCAACATAACAACATCACGCCATAACGCTATCTCTAACCTAACGTCAAAACTGTAGTACTTAACCTAATAACCAACATCATCTATGTGGATAAGTAAGTACCTGAATTCCAGATTTAGAGAGACCAGGAACATCCATGAAGAATACATATTCATTGGTAGTGTCCAAAATGTCCACTGGGATGCTAGAAATCCCTCTTGTCTCATGGTGATCATGGGCACGAGAAGAAGGAAACATGAACTTCTCCATGGTTTCAGGAAGATTGAAGAAGTTGTTCACTGCAGCAGCCAAATCCACGTTCAAGGAATCACCAACTCTGCTCATCTTCACACAACAATGCAACCCACAATTGCTCTGATTCTGACCACCCCACAAAAAAAAAAAAAAAAAAAAACCTCAGCTAAAGGAACACTTGGCAAAGACAAGAACTTTTCACAAAAAACATTGACCCCAGAAAACATTAACACGTGAAAACAAAATGAAACATCATGGGATTACCAACCTATGTTTGCGCCACCTAGAATCTAGCAGGGAAATAGACTTCTGTGTTTAACTTGTGGTAGTTTAGTTGCCTAGGAGAGAGTTTCGAAGAAAATATAAATAGAACAAGTTTGTGTAGAGTGAAGAAAGTTCGAGAGTAATTGGCCACGCGATCTGGAAACATCCTCTTCATTTTTGGTTTACACGTGGTATTCTCTGGATAGGTGTGGAAACTCGAGGCCCCTTCTTCTGTGTACGTGTCAGAATCAAATAATAATCCTCCATGCACTATTGCACTTATTTCTTTCTTTCTTTTTTTTGTCTCTTTCAATTCCAAATTTTTTGGTTCAAGTTTTGTCTCTACAACCATTTTTTCCTTTCTATTACCGATCAATGGGTTTACTTTTCTTGATTTTGGCCCCTTGTTAACATACAAGACAAAGAGTAAAAAGTATAGAGGTCAATTCTTTATAAACCAAGAATCAACGCTTTAATGAATAAAAAATATAGAGATTGAATTAAGATTTTAAAGGACTTTTTTAGTTAAAAAAATTCTGTGAATTTTAAAAGATTTTGCAGGATTTTCATGACTTTTAAGATTTTGAAGGATTCTACAAGACTTAAAATCAGGATTTTAATGGATTCTGCAAGACTTTTAAATCAGGATTTTAATAGATTCTGTGGGATGGATTTTAATGGATTCTGTGGGATTTTGTGGAGTTTTGATATTTGATAAGATTTAAAAAAAATTTCATACATTCAAATTTAAAAAGAGTCAAAGACAAAAATAATATAAAAAAATAATAATGTCTAGATAAATAATAATAATAATAATTCTTCATAATATTCTATCCTCTTTTTATAGCATCCAGTATTAATTGTAATAATTCATCGGAATCCTCCTTGGTCCAAGCTTCATAGTTTTCTTTCTTTTTTCATTTTTCTTTATTATTTCCTTGTGAACCTCCCATTGGAATTACTAAACCAATATATGTTGAAACCTAGTATATAAATAATTATGGATAAGGAACAAAATCAATAAAATTATATTATTATTTTTAGAAGCACACCAATTATACAAGATCGAATATATCTTGGCTATCCAAATAGATCAAATAACTCAGTCATTATAAAAAAAATGTAAAAACGGAAATATAGAAACATAAGATAATTTTATATATAAAAAAAATCAGTATATTCGATACTGAGAAAATATTTAGATATATAATTGTTTTTATATAAACGGAAGTATTTAAATATAATTTTAGTTATATATTATATGATAATTTTTAACGATATTTATAAATGTAAATTATTCTAACAAATATTTTAACAATATTTCCTTTTTTTAAAAATAAGCTAATGAAGGCATAAATCCTAAACCCTAAAAAATTAGACACTGCAATGTCTTATGTTAATTTTCTTTTTTTAAAATATAAAAAAATCTTAATTTCACAATATAAAAGAAAATTCATAGTAAAAAAAATAAAATAATTGTTGAGTCATAAAAGGAGGAGGGATAAGAGTAGGCATGGCAACGGGGCGGGGCGGGGGCGGGTTTTACGTTCCCCGCCCCCGCCCTCGCAAATTTAAAC